TGGGGGTGATTTCGTAGCCATTTTTTTAGAAAAACTATGGGCTATAATGGGCTATTATAGCCTTTCCTTTTTTAAATTTGTTTATTTTAAAAGTGCTTATAGTAGCTCCAGAATTTGAACTTAGGATCAGCTCAAACTTTCTACATACATTTAGCAAAAGGGCATCAATACAAGTACTTCATTAGTACATGTACCTCAGAGAAAGTATCTTCAGTAACTCCTCCTTTATCAACATCTCTAATACCAACCAACGCTCTCGTGAATAACAAGTCAATCTAATAAATAAATAATAATAAATAAGATTAATAAATAAAATCAATAATAATAATAATTTTTCACCTCCTCAAGATCTTGTATGGTAAGGTTCATTCCAGCTACCAGTTTCCACATTGGAGGAGCCAAGTGAAGATTAAGAGGTCTCTTTGTCCTGATGCCAACTCCACACAAAATACCAAAAAACTTGAACAATTTAAAATCAGTGCATTCAGGATTAAAGACAAACCTAATAACAAATTGAAATTAATTAAAATGAGTAAATAAATAAATAAATAAATAAATAATTAATTAAATAAACAAACAAATAAATAAATACGTAAATTAGTATTACTATTATAAATACTCTTTTATTGTTACCTGTCAGTATTAAAACCACATTTATGAATGCTATTGGGAGTTTTTGTCAATAGCTTAACTTCTGTCACAGACTCCAATTCCTACCAATAATTAAATAAACCATGCCCATATTATCAATAAACCACACCCACCTCACACATCTGAGCAAGTGTCTCATCAAACACTCCTCCTGCATCGTCTGCCCCCTCACCAATTAGAGTCACTTTCCATGACCTTTGGGCACATAGCAAGTTCACTGGATCTTTCAATAATAACTGATTAGCCATTTGAGTAAAGACTGGTAATAGAGGCTTATTACTAAAGAGAGAGAGAGAGGGAGGGAGAGAGAGAGAGAGGGGGGAGGGAGAGAGAGAGAGGGGGGAGAGAGAGAGGGGGGAGAGAGAGGGGGGGAGAGAGAGAGGGAGGGAGGGAGAGAGAGAGAGGGGGGAAAGAGAGAATGAGAGAGAGAGAGGAAGGGAGGGAGAGAAACAGGAGAAAGAGAGGAAGAGATATACATGTAAGCAAGGAAAAAAAGAAGAGAGAGAAAAGGAAACAGAGAGAGAGAGAGGAGGAAAAGAAGAAAAATTCTCACTATATAAAGATTACATTATGCACTTCCTTACTCTTTCTGAATCCTGTGTATGACCACACCAGGTCCATGACTACCACTTCTCATGGTCTTCCTCAATACAGTGCCAATAAGTCCTTCAACAGGCCCTGGGTCAATCATCATACGAGTAATACTATTATCCAGTGGATTAACACTATCCTGAGCAGCAGTGGGAGAGAGAGAACTGAACAGCCTCCATGAGGACATGATCCTTCGAGAGAGTAAACTAAGGGTCTGTAATCGACCATATATGGAAGTGAGGGGGATCCCGGTTAGGCTGGTGTAATCCAAGGGTATTTCTGTCGGTACTGACATCACTGTTGAGTAACGAGTGGGCGGAGGCATTGTACAGCATAAGGCATGACGTACACCTGCTGATACCTGATTAATTAAGAGGAGTTAGCCACACACCCTTTTTATTTTATTAATTACTTGTTTAATTCCTTTGCCACTGATGACGTTAATGAGTTTAGGAACAACTTGAGAAGGAGACTCAATCTCATATCCCAACTAATAATAAATAATGATAAATAATAATAATAATACAATTATTTGCTATTTACATGTACATGTATGCTAAGCTAGGCATTCTTATTATATAATTAGTAGCATATTTTGTTCTTTTGCTTCTCTTTTAAAGGCACATATGCATGTAATGCTACTAATACTGTTTTTTATTACAGTAATATATGTATGCTAGCATGTCTCTTTTAAAGGTAATGTAATGCTAGTAGTCTAATACTGATAAAGGTCTTTCTTCTCTTTTTTAGTACCTGTATGGTGTATCCAGTGTTCTTCCCCCATGAGTACACATTACCAGTTGATGTCACACACAATATGTATTGATCAGCAAATGCCACATCAACCACTTTACTATCATGAGGCTCATTAGGCAGTTCAATATATCTAGCTGTATCTATCACTGGATCAGTTTCAGTCAATTTACCTATCATTATTAATATGTACATGCATTGATATCATGTGATTGTCATGTGACAGTAACTCACCAAACATACAGAGTTTCCCACTGGTAGTAATCAGTGCAGTGCACCTACCACAGAACACTTTACTAAATGGACCCATGGCCTGGAGGTGACCAAGACACTACGAAAAATAAAATTAAAATGTAATTAATTATATTTGTTATTATTATTATTTACAATTGGTTTGTATATTTGCTGATCGAGTGATGAGAGTCCAAAGCAGGAATTAGCTCCTTTACCAAATCCAAAGACCTGCCTACCATCTTGAGTTATGGCAATAGTATAAGAATTACCACAAGACACCTAATGAGAAGAGAGAGAGAGAGAGAACAGAAAAAAGAGACAATTAATAAAGACAATTAATGCCCTTATACCACATAGAAATTTTGCCATAAATTTTTGAACTGCAGTACATGTATGAGTAGATAATAAAAGATATACATACATGTATGTACCAATAATAACTAAATTGGCTTCCAAATTATTCCCAAATGCATCATACATGCACATATTCTCATATTATTCTTCCCTTACATGTCCTATTTTAACTCCATGTATCTCATCTCTTTGATTGTCCCCAAGGAAGGTAGTCACTTCAGTTGGAGCAGGAGCAGCATCTTCACCACGGCCCAGTCTACCACCAGCAGAATTACCAAAAGTATATAAAGTACCAGTGACAGATACTGCAGCACAATGACTGTCACCACAAGATATCTACAACAATAACAATAATAATAATAATAATAATAATAATGCTACATGATAATAAAATAATAGTCTAATACATGTACAAATCAATTGTTACCATTTTAATATTTTTTCCAACAAGTCCTTCGATCAGTTTAGGTGATTTGACATTATCAGTGTTAGAGTGGCCCAGCCTGTGCTTGCTCCCTCTCCCCCAGGAGTAGACCTCTCCCTCTTCAGTGAGAGCTAGTGCAAACCCTTCATCAGTTTCTGTTGCTGTTCTCGGACCAGCTACCAACTGGACTATCTTAGTCCCTAAAAATAATGAAAAAATATTAATAATGAGTAGCAAAATTAATCAAATTACAGCAACTACCATACAGCCAGAAAGTTTTGTGACAAAAAACTTTCGTGGTTTGGTGGCTCCCAGTCTATTCATGGTTTTTATTCTTGTGGATCATCAGTGAAGCTTCTACACTTCTCATTAACTTGCAAATATTTCGTGGTTTTTAATTTCATGGTGTCGTTCCAAACCACGAAAATTTTTGTCCACAAAACTTTCCAGCTATATGGTATTTCTAGCTAATTATTAATGCTATCATTAATTGTACCAGTGAATGCTCCAATCTGTCTAATGCTGGTTTCATTGTCGGATGAATTGTGTCCAAGTCTACCCGAGGCCCCATCACCAACAGAGCTAACACTACCATCACAATGAACAAGGTAACTGCAGTAACTACCAGCAACAGCCTGTCAACAAAACAACAGTAAACAACAACAACAATAAATAAATAAATAAATAAATAATAATAATGGATTACTTGTGAAACGTTGTCCCATTCATTGATGAGGTCAGGTATAGTCTTATCTCTTGTTCCTTGTCCCAGTTGATTCCATTTCCCTTTACCCCACGAGTAGACTTTACTATCATCTCTTGACCACCAATCCTGTGAGAGAGAGGGGGAAGGGAGAGAGAGGGAGAGGGAGGGAAAGGGAGGGAGAGAGAGGGAGGGAGAGAGAGGGAGGGAGAGAGAGGGAGGGAGAGAGAGGGAGGGAGAGAGAGGGAGGGAGAGAGAGGGAGGGGGAGGGAGAGGAAAGGAAAGGGAGGGAGAGACAGGGAGGGAGAGACAGAGACAGAGAGACAGTAAGACAAAGACAGAGTAGAAGAATCAGAACTCTGTGTGTGAGTGGATGTGATGTACTTTTGGTTTTTTAATGATCCATTCCATTATATCAGAGTCCATACTAACTGACCACACTGAATTATCCTAATAATAGCAATAAGAACATCAATATGCATCAGAAAATATAATAAAATATTTTCTCTTCTCTTCCACTCACTGTTGGTTGATATTTCTCAGTTGGACTAATCTCTACTTCATGTAGATTCGGCTTCAGGTTCTTTGGTAATGGAAGACGCTTTGTAAAACACTCAGACAGTCGTATTGTATCAGCATAATCCTCCAACCATGACCACTCTGGGGGTGTGGCCTTGGCCGGAATGTGACAAGGAGTGGGTGGAGTCACAAGGAGAGTATCAAGCCCAAATCCAATCGCAAAACCAGTCAATAGTTGTAAATACTCACTGTGGATCAACTGATTACCATTTGATATCTCTTTCTAATAATAATAACAATAATAATAATAATGTTAATAATAATGTCAATAATAATAATAATAACAATTATAATAATAATGTTAATGATAATGTCAATAATAATAATAATAATAATTATAATAATAATTCATCAATATAATAGTTATTAATTGTTACCTTCTCATAGTTGTACTGGTCCTGTAGCATGTTGTGCAAGTTCTGTAGTAATGAGTTTAGGCAGGGGCAGGTTGATAAGTCATTGATTCCAATGAGTCTTAATGCTGGTAGGCATATACTAGTGACACGTACTGATGAATAATCTGATGGACCAGGAGGTAATAGGGATACGGTCTAGAGAGGGAGAGAGGAAAGAGAGATATGGAGTCCAATTAAAGTGCACAATGAATATTAATATCAATTATAATTTTTTATACTAATGCTGGACATCACTTGTTTCAACACAACATGATACATGTACATGTAACTTGTGCGTATCGAAAAATGTAATAAAAATGAAGAACTCTCTTCTAGCCATTTCAAAATTCTCTCCTTTGAAATTTGACCAAAGATTATGTAATGGGTCTTTGGCCCAATTTTGAAGCAGCTTAAAAAATTTGTCAAAAAATCCAATTTTTTTGACCGGAATCAGTTCAAACTCTTAATTCTTATGCAACATAAATACATGTATATGAAAAAATTATTAAAATAAAGAATTCTATTCTTTTCATGTTTGGCAAAATTTTGATTGGAATCAACTCAAACTTTCTACATAACATAAGTACATGTTTATGCATCAGAATATATTTAAATATTACTTGTGAGTTTTTATGTGTTGCAGCTAATCCTTTATCAGTCCATGATAGGCTAACAACAGAACCAGGAGTAGCATCAGTAGGAGATGACACTCTTAATTGATGGAAATTCTAAAAAATAAAATAAAATATCATTATTATCATCTATTATCATTATTATTAAAACAAGCCCAAAGGAGTGAAGGAACAAGATTGCCAACAAAAGCTTAGATAATGCTGTTATTATATCATTATCAGTATAGCTTCAGACCATTTAGAACTTTTAATTTAAAAAATAAATCAACAATAATTATTAGCAAAATAAAATAATCAGCATAATAAAGGACTATACACATTTAACAATTAACGAAATCTCTCGTGCCTAGTAGTCACTTTCCTCCTATACACAAAATACGCACAAGACACAATAGCCATAACAACAACAACAATAAACAACAACACAATCACTCCAATCATCACACCAAACTTAGTCTGTGATAAACTAATACCGCCAGTTGTAGGGGCACCTCCGGTTGATGCTATTGAATCAGCACAAGTCGAACCATCATCCTGAAACTGTTTAAACTCTTCAACCGACCACTGGAAACTGCCGTGATTATTAATGTTAGGAGGAGGTGCCTTGTGCTGGAGTGGATCATACTCTTGGACAATAGCAGCCATGCCTAGTGCTTGATGGAACTCAATGTGACAATGGAGGAACCAGTAGCCAGGGTTATCAGCCTGTAATGCAATGACAACGTATCCATACCCAGGGACCATCACAGTATCCTTACTAATGGCGGATCCTATCACTCGACCGTTTGACACACGAGCCATTAGACCAGCCGGTGGCGTACCGTTAGCCCATCTCGGTGTCACGCAAATGTTATTACCAACAGTATCACAGACAAGATCAGTGGAGGGTGAGGTGACTTTACCATTAGAATCATAAGTACCGTACCCTGTATAGAGTATCTGGAAATTATGTCCATGCAGGTGAATAGGGTGGGTATCAGGACTGTTCAGTGAGCTGAATATCATTATTATTGACTCATGTTCATCAGAGTTGGGGTCAAAAGTAGCCGCGTTAGCTATCGGTATGACATGAATACACCTGCAGCCGCTAGTGGTGTTAACAGTGCACCTGTCACATGTATTAATGATTGACTTAGAGCTGGTGTATTGAGCACAGTTAGTAGCATATGCTGTATTAGGCAGCTGGAGACTCTTGCCGTTAATGAAGCTATCATCACGAGGGCCATCAAAACCAAAGTTTAAGAAATGAATGCAATCAGGACAACTGCTGCTAGGAGGAAACTTTGGGAGCTTGTTAGTAGGAGGAGGAAAAAGAGAAGAGAGATTCATCAATGATATACATGTAAGGGCACTTCCGGCAGGATACTGTTGAAATGGACAGTTTAAGACACGACAGGGAGAGGCTGAGGTGCAGGTAGGCCTAGCATCAGGTATATTACTGTAGCCATTCCTCCAGTCAAGATCATTACCATTAGTATAACTTAGTACAGCTAGTACTGACTGCCTTGGACTAGTATCTACCAGAGTCTCTGCTCTTATCCAGAAGTTAGTCTGGCCTCTGTTTGGGTTAGTGGTGTTCAGTATAAAGTCATATCTCTCTCCAGAATGAATTACAATGTACTCAACATCTCTCGGTTGGTAGTAACTACCATCACTGGCTATAGCCCGAAGAGTGTGACCATCTATAGAGAAGTTAAAGGCAAGCATGGCATTGGAGCCAACCAATCGAAAACGATAATAACGATTAGACTCAACTGAGAATACACTGAGAGGGGCTAGTGTATTGCTATCGAACCGTCCCCTTCCATTTATCAGTCCAGACCAATAAGGAACTGCTGAAGTACCAGTACCGTCAATGAGATCAGACTCTTCATGAGGAGTATTAGATCTATCAGGTACAGTGGAGACTGGTGCATCTGGAAAAAAGAATAAAGAATCGTTCATCTTTACAAACATGTCGTTTGGATGCTCCCTCATCCAGTCAATGACTGTAATGGTATGGAGCTCAGGTGAATCAACAAGGATTGAGCTACTGTCTTCAGGTAGGATCTGTGGACGTACGACCTGCTCAAAGAAGGTATCTGGATCACGTAGTACCAGTCCACCAAAAAGTCCATCAGCTCTCTCAGACCCTACATGAGAGTGGTACCAGTACGTGCCGGACTGTCCTGCAGTGAATATGTAGTCAAAAGATGAGCCAGGGTCAATGGGAGGATGAGACACAAACCCAACTCCATCCATCCATGGAGTGTCCTTTTGAAACAGACCGTGCCAATGTATTGAGACTGATTGAGAAACAAGACTATTAACAACACGAATGTGTACAGTCTGTCCAGAGGTTACTACTAGAGTAGGGCCTGGGATTTGTCCATTTATTGCTATTATGGCTCTGTAATTGACTCCATCAACAGTCATTGGTACACTGCACCCTCTCCTGGTAAAATCACTGCCAGTGAAAGGTCTTGTTCTAGGATCATCAAAATTGCAGTCGCCATCTTGCTGAACTGTAGGTATGTAGCCTGATCTGTTTAGGAAGTATCCTTCTCCATCAAAGGATTGCTGATTGTTGGAGCCAAAGAGCTTATAGCTAGTGAAGGTATGCCTGTACTCAATCCTGAGTATGAACTCACAGACACTAGCAGTAGAGCTGCAGTTACAGTATGACTGTTGATCGGGACATGATACCACTTCAGCAGCTACCAATTGAAACAGCAAAGAAGCTAATAATAAGAGCACTGCACTCATCTCTCTCTCTCTCTTTCTTCTCTCCTATCAGCAACAGCAATGTTTACTTTTAAAGTAACTATAGGGAATCCTAATAAACGATATTCATAGCTTTTGAATACTGTTAAGCCACGCCCTAATGAGCATCACATGTGTATTAAGTAATACATGTACATGTACAGTAAGAATCACTAGAAGCCAAAGCCATAATATACATGTACATGTATATATACATGTCATGTAGGAATCACTATATTTTTTCAATAGAAGCCATAGCCATATACTGTATAAGTACATGTAGCTGCATGATTTTGTGGTCATCATACAACTGTTGTAAATCATAGGAATACTTAATTTACATGTACATGTATATAGCATTGAATGAAGGTTGAATGAAGAGTGTTGATAGTTGTATAATTTAATGACTCGATAATAAATATCAATATCAATATAATGAAGAAATTGATGGATAAAACACACATAGCATGCTTAACAACATGTGGCCATATAAAAAACCACCAAATAATAAACTTCCTGCTACAATATGGTACACTGTATATTATATTTTACATGCATTACTCATGATACTATTGATACATGTGTATTTACCTGGAGGTCCCATACAATGACTCCTCCATTATCATACCCAGCTGCTAGCAATGCTTCTTTTCCCTCCATCACTAAAGCAGTCACACTAGCTCCACCCACTCCTCTCATATCAGTAACATGATCAACACGTATTGAGGCATCAATCACTGATAGACTCCAAATATGGACAACACCATCCGAATCACCACTAATTAATTAATAATAATAAATAATAATGAATTATTAATTATTAATTTACTCACGCTGCTAATAAAGATGTGTAATTATCTGCCGTGAGTTGGTTCCACGTGATACATGTAATGTTATAATTATTAATTGACCACGCCTCCTGTAACTCATAAGTATCCTCATCGATTGGTTGGTATATCTGTAAAATATACAATTAACATAATTAATACAATAGGACTTTAAGTTTCTATTTTTATTACTTTTATTATTCCGTCTGATGATAAAACTGAGAAAAACATGTCTTGAGGACTCCAACACATTGACTGTACCTAAAATAAACAATAAAAACAACAAAAATAACAACAATGTTACACCATAAGGAGACAATAGTTTGTAGGCATTTAATGTAGCGAATTTTAGCGTTTTAAAAAATCGCTAACTTAAGTCTGTGCTAACTTTAATTTCTGTTAATATCTATTAATATTAAATGATAAAAACGCTAAATCCAAATACCAGCCAAATGTCAGTATCATGAAAACTGCTAAAATAAGTACACACTAATAATTGTTTCCTTAAGGTAATAATAATAAAGTAAATATACCACTGTGTGTACTTTTATTTCAATTGAGTTCTCATAGTTCAAGCGGCTAAGGTACTGTGAATAAAAATAAAGGTGAGAGAGGGAGGAGCTAACTGCAACCACGCCCCAACCATTCGACCAGCATATCTTAGTTACAGCCCCTAATAAAATTTAATGGGTAACCCATACAAAATAGAGACAATGAATACTGTACCTCCATCAGGCAGTTTAGCATCATTGATAATCTCAAGGTTAGTTTCCATTGGGAGACTCACTGATACTTTATGTACTGTTATACTAGCCAATGTACCATCAATTAAACCAACCTAGAAATGAGGAAACATCAATTATTATTATTATTATTATTACTATTATTATTGTTATTAATATTGTTATTAATGCATGTTCTGTATTGTGTCTGTCAACTTTCATTATCATTGTGTAACTTCATTTAATAAACATTACTATTACTATTATAATTACTAGTATCATTATTATTATTATTATTATTATTACCAGTAGTATAGGTGGTTCTGCTGCTGCTTCGTTTGTCCTCCATTTCAAGTCAGTAATCAAATTAGGGAGAGTAACGCTAACACAAGAACTGTCTCTTACCCTCCAGATACTAACCACCTTACCACAAGCAAGAGATATACAGGTTTTATTACACTGCAAGGAGAGAAATTAAAGAGAGAGGAGGGAGGGATGGAGGAAAAGATATAAAGAGATAGGAGAAAAATAGAATAAAAAGATGTAATAATGATTTATTTTTTACATTTAATTCTAAAACTGGTAGCAATAATTCAGCCCCTTCATTCTTCATTGCATCATTCATTGGTAATACAGTACTAGTGCTATCAGCAGGAGGAGATATGGTCCATGATCTGAGAGTGAAATCCTCTGAACTATAAAAGAGAAAAAGTACATGTATACAATTAATGATTCCTTACATTGTATAAAGTGTGTTGTTACTGGTGCAGTATCTATTGTTCATTATTTGTCCAGTGTGACCTTTTAATGACAATAACTGAGTTGGAGTAGGACACCCTATTAGGAATATGGAATGAATAGAAGAGGGGGAGAGGGAGGATAATAATAACAGGAAATATCATATTTTCTCTCTGTTATTCCCCGTCCACATCTCTCCACTTCTCTCATATTGTTATTATTATTCTATCACTATCATCATCATCATCATCATCGTCATTATTATTGTTATTATTAATATTATTATTGGTCACTAACTATCTTTATTTGCTGTTTTCCTCCCACTGTTGGTTGATGTTATTTGTGTGAATATTTTCAGTAATTGTTTGAGTGCCCAGAATCTGTCATTAGGCTGTAGTTTTGATGAGAAGATACAAGCAGCTAATGCATCAGTCATACTGGATAACTCATTTACTGATCTATAAAAAAACAATAGAGAGGAATGAAAGAGGGAGAGGCAGAGATAGAGACGAAAAAGAAGAGAGAAAAGAGAAGAGTAAAATTGCATGCATTATACATGTATGACAATACATGAGTTTTATACAAGAGCACATTATAAAGCAGATTCTCAATCTCTTCCAAAACAATGCATTTGTTTTATTTGCAGTGTCAGCATGGTATATGTACCATAAATAATTGGCATAACAATAGTAATAAAATTAATGGCATTGTTTATAAAACAAATAAATGCTTATACATGCTAGATGTACACAGCCTACACTGAACTACACCTACATGTAGATCTACAAGTAGATTGCGTGTATGATTTGTTGCATTTCATAACTGTCTCTAATAGTTTATTGGTAAAGTATTATATTGCTAAACTTCTATATTTAGTACTATTGTACAAGATGATTGATATCTCTCAATGGAGAGCAAGTATTGGACTGTGGAGCTACTGCCAAGCTGCCTCCAGTAGACCAGCTAGTGGCTGTCACTCCTACACATTCAAAACAGGCAGAAAGTCAGGCAGTACTACACCAAGAGAGAAGACATCTAAACTGCCAGCAGCTCTGTCTCTTATTGCTTTCCTCCTCCTCCTCCTCCTCCTCCTCTTTCACTCTCTCTCTTTATCAAGAGACACAAAGCTTAATTTCATTCTGCTAACAAGTAAAATATTAATAACAATAAATAACCATCAGTATCACATTCACTAGGTATAACTAGCTACAATCAAGTACAATGTACCACTGTTACTGGTATAAATCATATTCAGTCAGGAACAGAAGGGTCCAGTTTCTATATTGCCAATAATCTGTCTCATTTGGTCACACTCCTCCTATCAGGAGATATTGAACTTAATCCTGGTCCAATGATTCAAGAAGGTTTATAGCTAAAAATTATTATTGTACATTTCAATAATTGTCTATCAATAGCTTGTAAAAGAATTAAAGATACTCTTCGTTTGCATTACAATACAATAGAGAATGCAACAAGAAGCTCTCTTTATAACATTGCATTAAAGTTGTATGCTAAAAATATCATTACTGAGGTTCAAGAGTCAACCAACTACAGCAGCATAATGCAACAGTTTAAAGCAACAATTGATTTAGCAGATAATGTATCAGACTTAAAGTTGCTATGTGAAGCCTTTATGGAGTGTATTTGTCAAGGTGGGCCTACTGATCGTATAGTGGAAATATTAGCAGTAGAATGGAACCAAGTATTTGATACAGAACTATTGCTGCCAGGACAAATGACAATTCCTACTAGCATAGCATCACTCACACCATCACCTTCACCAATCTCCCCAGCAGAATCAACAAGTAATAAATGATCAATGATAATCCATTGTACTTTCATTTGAAATGCAAATATAGGTCTGGTTAGAAAAGTTTCACTTTCAAAGACTAAGGCTGCAGAAATGAAAGTACAAGCATCACTTGATGATCTGCACAAAAAATTTTCTAAATTATCAACTGAGTTTCAAAGAGTCTTAGCCAAAAAAACAAGTCAAAATGAGGACTTGGCTATAGAAATATCAAAGTGGATTGAAGCCTATATACATTGGGAGCCCATTACTGTAGAAAGTAACCTTGATGATATCTTCAAGAAAATTGATCCCTACTATGATTTTATAGACTGCAAATTAATACTGGACATGAGTGAAACATTTCTTGAAGATGATCAATCCTCTTATATTGTGGATGATATTAAGAGTCACAATCTCAAAGCCAAGGCACTCTGTCATTCAAAAACAATAAATAAACTTAGAAAAGTTCTAGATGATACAATTGGATCTTTTGGAAACGACAAGCATAACATGCCTGTTATTCACATAAAAGTTCAAACTGTCTGGGAGGATATTAGTATAAAAGGATTGAAGCTTCTGATAAAAAAATTGCTGCCAATTGAGAGTAGGCAATCACTAATGAAATATATCTCTATCCGTCCTGGATCAGTGTACATTACATACCCAGTTCTTCACTGCACAGCTGATAGTCTAAAAGAATATACTCAAAGAAAGTTAGAGTTTTTGCGCCTTATTGGTATATTTAGTTTATACATTGATGATCATCCTGTCCTTCAAGGTGATGAGAATGCAAACTTTACCTTTGAACTAGCTCTCCTTAAGGCAGTCACAGCTGGTAATAATCAAGCAGTAGAGTTTCTTCTTCATTTAAAAACTGTTAATATTAATCATACTAATGAAGAGGGCAAGACAGCACTAATGCTAGCTTGTAAAGGAGGATGTGAGGATATTGTACACAGTTTACTGCCTGCTGGAGCTAATGTTAACATTCAGGACAATAAAGGATGGACTGCACTAATGATAGCAAGCGAACATAATCACATTTCAATCATTAATACATTGCTACAAGCTAATGCTGTTTTTGATCTGAGGACAACAAATGGATCAAATGCTTTGATAATTGCTAGCTACCAAGGCCACTATGAGGTTGTTCAGCTGTTTATAAGTAAAAAAGTTGATTGCAAATATCAACAAAAAGATGGTTCGACTGCTCTTATGAAGGCATGTGCAAATGGTCATACTCAAATTGTTCAACTGCTGTTAAAGGAACAAGTTGATCCTAATGTTCAAGAGAAAAATGGAGTAAATGCTTTTATGCTGGCTTGTCGAAACGGTCACACTCAAATAGTTGAACTGTTACTGAAGGAGCAAGTTGATCCTAATGTACAAAACAAAGAAGGTTGGAATGCTTTTATGTTAGCTTGTGAAAATGGTCACACTCAAATTGTTCAACTGTTGCTAAAGGAACAAGTTGATCCTAATGTTCAAAAGAAAGATGGAGTGAATGCACTTATGAGGGCATGTGCAAGTGGTCACACTCAAATAGTTGAACTGCTGCTGAACGAAAAAGTTGACCCTAATGTTCAAGAGAAAGGTGGAGGTAATGCTTTCATGTTAGCTTGTCAAAATGGTCACACTCAAATAGTCCAACTGTTGCTGAACGAAAAAGTTAATCCTAATATTCAAGAGAAAGATGGAGGTAATGCTTTCATGTTAGCTTGTCAAAATGGTCACACTCAAATAGTCCAACTGCTGCTGAAGGAACAAGTTGATCCTAATGTTCAAAAGAAAGATGGAATGAATGCTTTTATGTTGGCATGTAAATTTGGTCACACTAAAATAGTTGAAATTTTGCTGAACGAAAAAGTTAATCTTAATGTTCAAGAGAAAGATGATTGGAATGCTTTTATGTTTGCTTGTAAAAATGGTCACACTCAAATAGTTGAACTGTTGCTGAAAGAACAAGTTGATCCTAATGTTCAAGAGAAAGGAGGATGGAATGCTTTTATGTGGGCATGTGAAAATAGTCACACTCAAATAGTTCAACTTTTGCTGAAGGAAGAAGCTAGTGTGAAATATGCTATCAAGTTTGCTTGTAAGGAGGGAGATACTGCGTTAGTAGAAAGATTACTAGATGCTGGAGTTGATCCTAATCTTCAAGACAGTAAAGGATACACACCTCTGATGATTGCTAGTGCTAATGATCATATGGAAGTAGTTGGGCTATTATTATTGAAATGGAAAGTTAATCCTGACATTCGGGCACCTGATGGATTTCATGCAGCAAAATTAACTACAAATAGAAACATAGCTTATTTTATAAAAAGTCATTCAAAAAAACAATCACACAGTTCAGGCTCAAAGGAACGATCACACAGTATTGGTTCAAGAAAACGATCACACAGTATTGGTTCAGGAAATTCTTCAGGTGGTCGTTCAGCATCAGTTGGTCCCTGAAAATAAACTACTTGATGATGCTTTGCTCTATACTCTTTAAAACTATTTCTTCTTTCTTTTCTCAAATTAACAAATTAAAATGTGAGGTTATGGTTTCATTTGTAATGTTTTATTTTGGTAATTGGTGATTTGCAAGCAAAATTACCAATATTAAAACTTCCAAATCATGCGCATGCTCAGTAATGCATGTGTACACAAAAATCAAACTGGCAATTACATTCTTACAGTAAAATTACCAAAATAAAGCACTATACAATATTTAATAAAATAAAATTATTTTACTTTATAACAATTACCGTACAGTTGGTAAATTTCGTTTTCGTGGGGTATTAATTTTCGTTAATTTCGTGGTTTATTTTTATCCACGAAATTTTAACCCCTACCCACCCACACATAAAAGCTAATTAACGGGCCATGCAAAGCTCTAACTACTATTTCCAAGCCAGTAGAGGAGCCAGAGTTCTTGTCTGTTACTCCATATTCCACCATAAGCCATGTGTTGGAAGCTAGTCCAGTAGATCCAAGTGAAAAGAAGTTTGCTAACTACCACCCACGAATATTGTACCCACGAATATTAGCTTCTAAGGACATTTTGGAGAAAACACAAAATTTTTGACCCTCGAATATTACCAACCGTACGGTATGTAATTATAGTCAGGCATGGTACATATATAATTTTAAAAAGACTAGAGCAACTATTATCAATGCAATGAATGCTATTATTAGTACAAGTAAAATAAAGAAAATGAATACTTCCTTGATAAATGAACCACACACAATCTACTGGTAGCTATATAGCAACTACCACTTTTTACAGTAAATTGTCTGGTAAGGACATCCGGGACACAACTATTATCATTCATAACTTTTCCCACTCTTATACTCAGTATTATTATGATTGATACATGTATGTCTCAATGGAGAGCAAGTATTGGATTGTGGAGCTACACAGTATGTACCGTCTAGCTGCCTCCAGTAGACCAGCTAATGGCCACCACTCTCGCTCATTTAAAGCTGCAGTAGAGAGCAAGTCAGACAGTACTACATTTTACATCAGGAGAGAAAACATCTAAACAATCAGCAGCTCTGCCTTCTATTGTTTTCCTCCTCCTCTTCCTCTTTCTCTCTCAAAATGGAGTATTTATGATCAACATACTTGCATAAATGGTTCTTAAGAAGATAGGAAAATGAGTTTGCACAAATTCAGTC